AAATGTTAAATAATTTATCAGATTTTAAATGCAAATGCTTGATTATAATTAAAATATTTTATTTTATTTTCAAGGTATTAATTTAACTCAGTGCCTTGGACATAGTTTATAAAATTTTAAATTGCGATTATAAGTAATATTTAAACTAAAGTGTATTTTTTTACATAGCTAAATTATCAATAAATAAGCATTTGAATATTTTACATTTTATTTTCTAGAAAACTTGCCTTTTTTAAACTGGATTTTTGTATAAATATAGGAACTATTACGCATTAGTTTTAAAAACGTTTTAGTTTAGACATGTTAATTTTATTAATAATTATTTAAATAAAAATTAACAGCTCTAAAATTTAATTTACTTTAATTAACATTTATTGTGCCTTTTTACGTCATAACTTGTTTATTTTCCAGAACTCGCGACTGTGTTTACTAGCCTTTCAAAAAGGAATGTCATACTGGCAGTATGATACTGCAGGTCGCGAATGTTTTAAAGTAAAAATTTTTATCTGGACTGGCAACGTTGCAAATTTAGGGTTTTGGTTGTCAAGTTGGTCGCATTGATTAAAACATACTAAGCTATAGTTATAAATCTAATTGTGGTTATGTATAAATTATTGTAGGTTACATTGTGCAGTTGTCAAGTTGAGTTGTCGAAATTCGTAGTTAAAAATGCAATTAATTTGGCTTTCGTCTTGCTTGTATGAGTAAAATCATATAAAAAAGTAGTTAAATATAGGTTGCTTACGGCCCAGAAGAGAAAGTATTCATAGCGGATAATAATCTTCGCTTTGAAAAGAATTTATATAAAAGAAATTAAAATTTTTTGTGAACGTAAATGTTGTCCAATGGTGAATAATGTGAAAATAATGTGTGATGTAATATTTATAAAACCAAATTCGTTACTTTTTACTCCAAAAATGTCCATAAGGCGATGTACTTTTTCTTCCATTGTGGCATTTGGCATAATTTCATCAAAATGAAGTTTTGCCTTTTACATTCGAATTCGTTGCTATTATTTTTGGCATAATTATCTTTTTATTTATAATTGACAAGTAAATTATTAATAATAAATATTATTGTCAATTTGACAGTGTCAAAGTATTTAATTAAATTATTTATCAGAAGTACCATTTTTAAATACTAAAAATACCAAGTCAAACTGGCATAAGCCACCAACCTAACACCTACCTTCCTTCCTTCCGTAAAAGATGTATAGTTTATCTTTTACGGGAGAAAGGAAGGAAGGAAGGCAATCTATAAATCAGGCTTAAGGTTTATATTTTTTCTGAAGCCCTATGACCAAATAATTAGCAAATTGGTGTACTTCATTATTGGAGGTATTACTTTTAATGTATCTAATAATAAATAAGTGGTAAAAATGTCCACCTTTCAATAAATATTATGAAATGTTTTTTTTAATCATAAAAAAATAAATAATTCATTAAATTAATTCTGTAACAAACACAATTTTTTATACCGATTTAATTATTTTTTTATTGGCATGTGTTGTGCGCGGCAGATTTCAAAGTTTGTTTGTAAACAACGCGAAATTCCAATAGAGGGCCCTTATTCGGTAACAGAACGTAGGCTGCGTTACGTAAACTTATTGTAATTAATTAAACCACAAACGTATCAAGGTACTAAAATTAATTAATATTAATGAAAATATTAAACATTACATTCGACTATTAAATTAAGAAGAAAACCCACTTGTACTTTAATAGTACAGACAGTGCCTGACTAAAATATTTTCTAATAACCTCGTCTCGCATAAGCCGATACTGAGCAAATTTATGAAAATATGACTATTTAACATAAATCGTGTTAAATTGTTTGTCTATTAATGTCCATTATAAAATATTTATTTCGTAATAATCTTGAAATTAAATGAATTTTTCCGCTATAACTTTTAAGTTGTTTATCCAGGGATTTTTATTAAATTTATGGCCTTTTCAAGTGCACTATTTCTGCAATAATCCTTAATTTATCTGATTATGTTTTAATGTTGAATTTATATTATAAAAAAATATCTACCATGCTTATGAGGCATGTCAGTTTAAGCATATCTATTTATTAAACGGTTTGTGTACCCAATATAAAACATTTAATTCGCAATAAGCAATTTAGTTCTTAGTTAAACACTTGTGACTTTGTCACTTCAAGTATTTTTTCCGTTTTGGCAGTGTCATTGCATGCATTACCAAATTCACCTGAAGCCATTCAAGTTTCCATTCCGAGAGAAGTGATAGATTTCACTGTATTTGGTAAGGGAATTTATTGCTAATTACCTTGCAGAAAAAACTCAACGTTAACATAAAAATATTTGTGTGAATCACAACAATCGATAAAACTTAACAAATAATCGATCACACCTATTTTGTCTCAGACAGCAATTTCCATTTTTTTTTATTTTTTTTTTTTGGATTAATATAATTTATTTAATTGTAAGTATTTCGTTTAAAGTTAATAATATGAACAACTTTCACCAAAAGTCCCGAGTTGGCTAAATTCGTCATTTCGGAATTATTATTTTTTTTTTAATGAAAATGCTATTTTCTTGTAAATTCGTGGTCCATCGCAAAAATTGGTTTTTTATCTATGGTCATAAAACTGGGGTGACCTATTATTATTATTATTATGAAGTGTAATTTTTTGATATATTTAACATTTTTTGTCATTTCTGGTTTCACCGGAAATGCTTTTAAGTAGGTAAGAAAAATTATTAAAGATTTTGGAGTAAAATGTAAATTCTTAATATTTTTGCATGTGTTACTTTTAAAAGATGTAAAAAGTATATGTAAGTTAATTTTGGTTAAAATAATAAATAGTAAGTATTATATACCTAAAATTAATGAATCGAATACACAAGAAACTTATAAAAACGCAATTCAACAATTAACAGATATGGGTATGTCTCATTTAACTTAAAAATGACCTGTCCCGGCCAAATATTTTTTTAAATAATAATATTTTGCAAGTTTTTAGGACATCACTTAAAAACTATCATGCTCTTTAGCGCATTTATATAAAATAAATTGTAAAAAATATATAAAATATATTTTTATTTTATTGGAAACATTTATAATGTCACCTACACTACCGGTCCCTCACCCGAAACTAAATGTGCAAAATAGTTTTTTAAATGTAAATTGCACTGTTTCTTAAGTTTAACCTTATAAACTCATAGAGTAAACATCAAGTTCACCCAATTTATCAAATTTTAGTTTTTTTTTTAATTTGTTTAGTTTTTAAGACTCTAGATATTGTGTCCCATAAGGTAAGGGTCATCTACGCCACTTACTATTATTTACGAAATGGAATATTGGTGGGGATGATTTTTGGTCAAACGTTCTTGACTAGAGCAGTGAATCAGTCTTATTTTGCTACTGGAAACGTGTAGGTGGTTTATTTATTGTCGTTGTTCCAGAAAATTCTACGTGATTCTGTTGGTGCAGGTACGTACTTTTATTACTCGTCACCTTCGTTACCGGTTTTGTTAGACTACTGCGTTTTTTTATATATAAAAAAACGCAGTAGTCTAATAAAACCGGCAACGAAGGTGACGAGAAATAAAAGTACGTACTGTATTTTGATAATAAATAATGATATATACTAAAAACTATTTAATTAATTTTAAACTTAAATTTAAATATTTAATTGGTGGCGTAGATGACTTGATATTTTGCTTAAAACCTTAAAAAAAAGATAAAATGGGTAAAAACTGTACTGCTTTTGGTAGGTATATACTTGCAAAGGTTTACTGAATTTAAAAATCCAAAAAAATATAATTTTTTGAACAATCAAAAATACTTAAAAAGTTATATCTGGAATTTAAAGTTAAATGAGACATACCCATATAAGTGAGGCAGTCACAAAACTCTTTTTGACTAAGGCTCTATCAGGAAGGAAAATAAGTATTAAGCCTAAGAGGTCCAGAAATGAATGCGCAGATTAATTACGTTCAAAAATAACAAATTTTCATTTGATTTCATATTTCGTTTTTTTATTTATTGCCAGAGATTCCCTACAATGGCCACACTATGGGGCGGTTAAATATAACTTTTTATAATCGTTTTAAAATATTTGAATGATTTTATTTAGTAGTTTTAAAAGCAAAAAAGTTGAGCAATTACTTTGATTCTAATCACCTCAACTATTATTTTTATTTTATTTTATAAAAAGTTTTAGCGTATGTTTTTATAGTAAAATAAAATGTTAATATTCACTAACGAACTGTCAAATCTGATACTTCTTTTAAACAAAAAGGTTTCAAAGCTTTCTTAATTTATTTACTTTTGTACACGGTTTAAAACCTGATAAACATTCAAATTTAATTAAGAGTTTGAAAGCAATATTATTAAAAAACGCATTAAAATTATAATAATAATAATAATAATCTTTATTGGTGCTAATACAATACAAATTGTTTACAACGTCAAAAAAAAAAGAAAAAGTAGAGAGAAAAGACTAATCACAAATACATTAAAAAGTACAAACTTACATAATATAGGTAAATATTTAATTAAAAATAAATTTAAAAAAGTGGATAGCTGTTATGTCCAACGAACCACCCTCTTTTATTAAAAAAAAATAGTTTTGGCATAAAGTATGGTTTTTTAATTTTTGAAAGCTAAAAACCAGCATTGCAAAAAAAAATTGTATTTTTCAGACCACTTGGCCCAACATGAAGCAGAAAAGCCAATTCAAGGCACTCTAGATATAGAAATTATATTTAATTAAAAAATGATTTGACCTGTCAATAATTGACAAATGACATATGGATGTATTCACAATTTTGTTTGCCTTTTTAGAAAAAACAATTTTTTGTATGTAGTAAACATTTACCTTCAATTTAAAAACATTTTAACGATCGAAACATTTTTGGCCATGTTATCGCATTTTTAAGAAAAAATTGATGTTTCTGTCTATTTTTTTTTAATTTGGACTGACAAGTTATATTCAAGCTAAATAAAAAAACTATTTAAAAAACAATTTTGCAGCTGGTTCCATGGACATTTATCCGGCAAAGAGGCCGAGAAACTTCTGCTTATGGACAGAGGAAAAAACGGCAGTTTTTTGGTCCGGGAGAGCCAATCGAAGCCCGGCGATTTTGTTCTCTCCGTCCGGACTGACGACAAGGTCACGCACGTCATGATCCGGTGTACTACAGTGAGTGTTTTGTTTTCTGTTACTTGTTTACGAAGTTGTGGTTACCCATTAACAATCGCAGACTACAATTATTTAGTAAAGTGAATATTTTTAGGAAATTGCATTTTTGTTGTTGTAGGATAACAAGTATGACGTCGGCGGCGGGGAGCAGTTTAACAGTTTAGCCGATCTGATCGACCACTACAAAAAAAATCCTATGGTTGAGACTACTGGAACAGTGGTTCATTTAAAGCAACCGTTTAATGCGACCAGGATTAATGCATCTGGAATAGACTATAGAGTTAGACAACTGCAGGTAAAATACATTTACAAATATACCTTATTTTACAAAATAATGTTAATAAATCAGTAATTTTCACTTCTTTAAATGGTAAAGGTTTAACCGATTTTGCAGTATTTTCTGTTTATTTTATAGAACGACAATTATGGTAAAGCAGGATTTTGGGAAGAATTCGAATCCTTGCAGCAACAGGAAGTCAGGAATTTGTACAGCAGGCATGAGGGCAACAAAAATGAGAATAGGCACAAAAATAGATACAAGAATATTCTACCTTGTAAGTACCAATATTTATTTATATGTGTATAGAGATTATGTATTGTGTGCTCTAGTACTTTACCTGAGATTATACAAAACATCGACGTTATCAATTTAATATTTGTTTTCTTTGCACAAACATATTTTTGTTTGGTTTACAGTCGATGATACCAGGGTAAAACTAAAAGAAGTGGATCTTAAAGAAGCAGGGGCGGATTATATAAACGCAAATTATATAAAATGGAAGGCTGACGAAACAATAGGAGAACTAGGTTGCGATCCCAGCGGAAAATTGTACGTGGCAACGCAAGGGTGTTTACCAGCGACCATCAACGATTTTTGGCAGGTAATCCACAATTTATTTCCTTTAAATAATATTTTTTTAAAAGAGCACTTTTAAAGACTTGTATTTTATCTTTTTAAGACACACAATTTGCCCATTATTCAAAAAGTTATGGACAAAAAAACATAATTTTAAATTTTTTGAACAGGCGATCAAAATATCTTAAAATTTACCTGGAAGGTTTTTTCGAAAGGTACAAAAAAATTTAAGATATCAAAAATATTTTTTTTTTCAATCGGTCCGACATTAATCCAAGTATAGAAATTTTAAGTTGACATTTTCTGGATAATTTGAAAAGTTGAAAAAAAATTAAAATCAAGAAATATTAAAATTTGCGGAAATTTTGATTGTTTTATTTCTATCTCTCTCTTAGTAATGCACTGAGGAGTGGGTCAAATATCCGCTTTTTTAAATTAATTTGGTAATAGCTAAAATATTATTATGTAGATTTTTTTTTTGTTATCTCTTAGGAAATTTAATTGTCTACAGAAAAATAATTCATAACTATCATGTGAAAATTTTTGAAGGTAATCGTGAATTCTTGTTGTCATTTTTTTCACAAAATTGACTTATTTTATTAGTAAATTTAATTTCCATAAATATTGTAGTTCCAGAGATAACCGCCATTTTATTTCAAAATTCTCATTTTTATGACAAACATTTTTATGACAACACTTACTTTATTAATAAGTAAAAAAAAGTAATTTGTCCATTTTTTTACGCTATCTGTTGGGAAATTAAATTTTCTACAAAAAAGTACTTAGGTATCAATTATCATGTGAACATTTTTGAAGTTAATCGTGAACTCAGCGAGTTTTTGTCTTAGAACTCCCAAACAAGTGAGTTTAACAAAATTGACTCAGAGATATTTTTTTAAGGAAATCGAATGCTCTACAAAAAAGGTTAAAATGAAATTTTCCGTCAGATGGACCATTTACCTAAAATCATGCCTTAAAAATTAGTATAGTTTAACATTTTGATCTTTTAACTTTAGAATTTTGTAATTGTAAAAATCAGTACCGGAAAAAAAGGTTAAAGTTGCAGTCAAAACGAAATTATTGTTTTTTTCCTCTGTAGATTAATTTTTTTATGGATGATAATTTGTTTTTTTTTCTTTTTAAATGTGTATTATATAACTAATTAACAATTTCAAATAAAAAACAACATGATTGTTATTATTTAAACGATTAAATAGGTGAAAATAATATTTTCTAAAGACTATTTCCCTCGTCTTAATTTCCACCAATCACAAACGCGCAATTTTGAATTACAAATGGTTTCTAGGTAAAAAAAACTGTGTTACAGCACCTGTCAGCAGTTTTTTCGAGTTTACCCGCGGCAAAACTTGACAGCTGTTGTCACCAAAAATTGCAATTTATATTTTAATGGTTAACTGTTACTCATGAAATAGTCTTGTCAAATACCATTCGTGCATATAATTTTTCCTGTGAAAAAAAAATCGAAAAAACACAATGCTAAGTAATATTTTTTAACAAAATGCATTCGTGCAGGTGCAAAAATCCTCCTCTTCGACTCGGATTTTTGTTGCCACCAGCAGCGATTTTTTTCGGAAAAATTAAATGCCCTTATGATATTACTTACGAAAATAGCTTGTTAAAGCGAAAAAATTAGAATGTGTTATTTTTTTTAATTTTCAGTAATTTTATGAATAACATAAAGATTATTATCGATATAAGAATTTAAGTTTTTAACTGACCCAAAAAAAAATCTAGAGCGGAAAAAACAAGAATTTTGTTTTGACTTCAAATTTAACCTTGAATAACTTTTGATGGAGTGAATTTAGCCAAAAATGTTAAGAGAATTTTTTTGTAGAGCATTTAATTTCTCAGGTACTGATTTTTACATGAATTACAAAATTCCAAAGTTAAAATATCAAATTGTAAAATATACCAATTTTTAAGGCATGATTGTAAGAAAACGGTTCATCTGACGGGAAATTCCAATCAAAAATTTTAAAAAATTTTGTAGAGCATTCAATTTTCTTCAAAAAATATTCTCAAGTCAATTTTGTTAAACTCAATGGTTTGGGAGTTCTGAGACAAAAACTCGCGCAGGAAAAAAATCTAAAATTGCGATGATAGACCTCTTAATTTTAATATTATGGACTCAATCTTTTACCATATTTTTTTTTGTCACCACAAACAATATTTTCGATATACTTTACAAAAAGAAATAGTCGTTTTTTTGGCCTAATGTTACACAGAACACAAAAAGTGTAAACTAGATTCTTCCCTTATAAAAAAATGTTGGCCAACTAGCAGGGGAAACAATTGTTTCAGATGGTGTGGCAGGAGAACTGCCGCGTGATAGTGATGACGACCAAAGAGATCGAGCGCAGCAAGAACAAGTGCGCGCGCTACTGGCCCGACCCTGACGACGCCAAGGACTACGGCAAAATCAAGGTGAGAACCGTCAGCGAGTCGTCTCGGCCGCACTACACGCTGCGCGAGTTCGCCGTCTCGATGGAGGGCGCCGGCGATCGCAAGGTGTTCCACTACCACTTCACCGCGTGGCCTGACCACGGCGTGCCCTCCGACCCCGGCTGCGTGCTCGAGTTCCTGCACGAGGTCAACAGGAAGCAGGAGACGCTGCAGGGCGAGCTGCCGGCCAACCAGCCGCCGGGCGCCATCTTGGTGCACTGCTCGGCCGGAATCGGCCGCACCGGCACCTTCATCGTCATCGACATGATTTTGGACCAGCTCAAGAAGAATGGTGAGTCTTTTTTTTGTTTTAATCACTTTTTTTGCTTTTTTGTGAAAACTACTTTAAAATTTGTTAAAAACTGTAAAAACTCTTGTAACTATGGCACGCCATTTCACTTTTTAATCGTAAATGTTTTAAATGTAAAAAAAATTGAAGTAGGTATTTCAAAATTATGGAATATATAATTGTATCTACTCCTACATTGACTAGCTGTGACTTTATGACGTTTTAGTCACGGGCTGAAGTTAGCAGTAGTGGCTTTTGGGCATTTTAGTCACGGGCTGAAGTTAGCTTTATTAGAAATTAGAGAAAAGTGAGGTTAATTCCATTGACATTTGACAGATGTCAAATGTTAAACAAATAAAATTGGATTTAAATTCTTCTTTGTGGTGGTCATAGATAAAGTATAGTATGCAACTCGTCTTATAAACTTATCTAGACACTCGTTTTTATTAAACACTCGCTTGCAAGCTTCGCTCGTGCTTAATAAAACTCGTAACTAAAATGGCGTTTATAAAACTTGATACATAATATACCTACTATTTTATAATTTTAGTTATTAATTAATTAATTAATAATAATAATTAAATAAAATTATGTCAAGTTCAAATTTAATTCAAATTTAATGGAAACAGATAGGAAAAATAGCGATTTATTATTATGTCTAGGCATAATTTGGTCAACAAAGTAGGCTCGCCAAAAGTGCTATCTGGAAATTATTTTATTAATAAAAATATGTTTTCGATATATTTTGCTAGTAAATTTAATATTTCACAAATTATTCCTTATTGCACAAATATCGCAGTTCCAGAGGTAATTGCCATTTAATTTCAAAAATAACAGACATTTACAAGGTTTTAGAAAGATTGACCGTCTGCCAGACGGCGTCTGGTTTACGAGTAGAAAAATATTAAAGTTGCTAAGGGATGTTATCGTTTATTATTGCTAAAATGTGTTGTTAATTTTAACACTTCGACTTATAAAATTAAATTTTTTAAATTAAATTCATTATTTTGTAATTGGATTTTTGCAAAAAGATTAATGTTTACTTTTATTTTCTTAAATCAAATTAAATTATTTTAATTCAATTTAGAATTTTTTGTTAAAAAAATAATGATAAAATAACAATTATCTATGAAACTTTTTTTTAGCTTTGATTAAGACTTAAGAATTTCACTTTTAGAAAGAAAAATTCTTAAATATTTTTTTGATCGTTTCGGTTTTTAGGTCTTGACTGTGAAATAGATATACAACGCACAATTCAAATGGTCAGATCGCAAAGATCTGGAATGGTACAGACTGAAGCCCAGTACAAATTTGTATACTTAGCGGTACAACATCATATACAGGCAATTCTGGATAGACTTAAGGCTGATCAGGTAAATATTTTGGGAGTATGTAAAATATCTTCTCTCAAAAATGCAATTTCGAACTAGATAAGAAATTTTAAAACGATTTTTTACGATAAAATTTAATGTAAAAAAGTTATGGTAAAAAAAAATTGTTGCCATTCGCCAGCAAACAAAATGTCACTTCCAAATTTAAATTTAAATATTTATGTTTCTTATTTTTATAGTAACATAAATCACTTTTCGTAGAAATCTATGCAATTCGGCAGAGAGTACACCAACATACGATACAACAGCGATTTCGGTAATGCGACGTTGCCAAACCCTAACAACGCGACGTCGTTCGGGAGTGTACTCTCCTTGAATTCTCGCTGCGGGAGCGTCTATATTCCGCCCCCCACTCCCACCGTTACCCTCGTCAGACAGGAAGTGAAAAAACCGCCCAGGGTCATCTCAGATTTGCCACGGTAAGTAAAAAAAGTTCTAAAATATTTTTTTTATTATAAAATTGTTAATCGGGCAATTCTTCTTAAAAAAGTCAAATACTTTTCTCATTCGTCAGATATCGCTAAAAAGCTTTTTTTACAGGTAATAATTTTTGCGGTATTTCTAAAACGGCTGCCGTACGTCATAAGTGGTTGGGACCTTTTTTGTTGAAAATTCCATTATCTACATTTTTCCCAATAACCTAAAATATCGTCAGACCACTAGATAACGAGATATTTTAAAAAAACAACATGGCGCGGCACTATTTATTAATTATTATTATTTTTACTAATTTACCAACTTTTTTGGTATCAAAAATCGCATTTTTGACAGTTGTAGAAAGTTTTAAATGCCTGATGCGAATTTTACACATTTTTGGACTTTTTTAAGTTCTAGTTTATTATGTTTAATTTATTGATTATACCATTTTACATAGTGGACACCTTGTATAATAAAAATAAATTAATATAAATTTGTATTTAAAATGCGTTTATAAATATTTGACTCAAAAAATCGTTTTTTAAATTCGAAGTCGTAATTATTTAAGTGTCAAATTGTTTTTTATTATAATTAGTATAATGTTTATGCAATGAAACATGGACAGTACCATCAGAATATTTTTAAATTATATTCTTTGGTGATTGTTGCAGGCTCATACTAGACGTAGAGTGTAGTGTGTAGTGTCAGTAGCGTAACGAAAAAAATTGACGACTTTGAACCCCCCCTCTGCGCCGGGTGACCCGCATTTTGTAAGTTTAAATCAATTTTTTTTGAAAGTCATCCCCTTCATCTGCTAACAAAAACCATGTAATGTAATTTTCCAATTTTGCGCACTAATTTTTACATTTATTTTTTCTTGTTTGTTTGATGGGTATTTTTTCAAGGACTCAGTGGCCTTGAAAACATGCTAATCACTTGTTTTTGGCAAGTTCAAAGTCGTCATTTTTTTTTAAAAGGTATGAGTAATATTTGTAAAATATTATAATACGTTAATTGGTTCAGAAATTTATTTTATTATTAGAACTTTTTTTCTGCTTCTATTACACATTATTGACATTATTTGGGTTTTTCGTATATAATGGTAACCATTATAATCGTCTCGCCTAGCACGGGAATAATGAATCCATTATTCACGTTGTTAGGCATCAGTTATTGGCCGATTTTAATATTCACTTTAGTTTAAACCAATCGAGTTTTAAATTGGGTTGGATCACATGTCAGATTTTTGTACAGGGTGATCCCCTATAATGTCGCCCCCCTTTAATTTTTTTATTTTCAGTGTCCTAAAAAATTTAAAAGTGTGGTTATGTAGGTACGTTTAAAGAAAATTCAAAAATTGATCAGTATACAGGGAAAAACAAGAAGTTTATTTTTTTTCAATGGATCACCCTATATATGTATTTATTTTTCGATTCCTTGTAAAATTCTAAGCATATTTCATATAACATACCATATACCTAAATTTAACCGTTTCGGAAATATTTAAATTATTTTTAAGATAATAATTTGAAATAGTTTGTCTTTCTCTGTCTGAGTTCGCCATTTTTACTTATTTAACAAGACATATTGACATAATGTCACTATAGTAACTTATCTTCAATAAAAATTTTGGTATACTAAAGCTTCTTGATTTCTAACAGTTTAAAAAATCATTTATTGATAACATTTCGAATGCGAATATTTCAGAAACGGTTCAGTTTAGGTATATGGTTTGTTATATGAATTATGCTCAGAATTTTACAAGGAATCGAAAAATAAATTCATATATGGGTGGAACTAAAAGAGCACTTTTGTATATACCTATAGGGTGATCCATTGAAAAAAAAATAAACTTTTTGTTTTTCCCTGTATACTGATCAATTTTCGAATTTTCTTTAAACGTAGATAAAAAGTATTTTTTAGTACCTACATAACCACACTTTTAAATTTTTTGTGACACTTAAAATAAAAAAGTTAAAGGGGTGCGACATTATAGGGTATCACCCTGTACATACAGTGTTGTATCCTTATTTATTGTGCGATTTTAACCGGATTTGTTTTAAAGTGCAGATCTTGATAAACTGTTTTTTTAGCAAAAAGCCATATTTTTACAAAATACAGTTTTTTTAGAGTAAATTTTTAACAATTCATATTAGCGATTTAAAAAAATCTATGGACGGTACTGGATTCACCACCCCTCAAAACGACCCTATACTAAATTTTATTGAATATTTTTAAGTAGAAACGATTTTGTACCCAAATTAAAAATGCACAATACTTACTATTTACAAAAATTTATTCTGTCAAGTTATCCATGAAAAAAATATTGAAATAAAATTTAACTAATAGTAACATCAAATGGTTCAAATATTCTTATAATTAGTTTTGACAAATAAAAAACGCAATTAAAACTTAAAACAACAATAAAACAAGAAATAGACAATTCCAAAAATTCTCTACAATTAGATTTTCGTCACCTCGGCTACAAAATCGTTGCTACTTTAAATTTTTTAATAAAATTTAGTACGGTATTAAATAATTTAATTTAAAAAAAGGAAACAAAAACATGAACCAATATTTTGCTTATTGGTTGTTTTATTGCTTCAGGGCCGATATGATGTACGAAAACATTCCAAGCAACTCGAACGCAATGGCGCCCACCCCGCCTCCAAGGAAGGCGTCGTGACGCAAAAAAACACCACCAAAAAAACAGTCCCCAGCCCCCAATTCCAAAATTTACTACGTGTACCTTCTTTATGTGTTAAAAGTAACTGTGTAAGTCTACGAAATGTTATGAGCGTATTTAAATGAAAATGATGAAATGGTGCTGCAGATTACTCTTGAGTGAATATATTTTAATATTCCATAAAACCGCGTATTTTTTCCAAAAAAGGACTGAATTATTCCGCGTTATTTATTTTATATCGCTGAAAAAAATGTTATGGGAGGTTGCAATGTATGGCGTCAAAAATTTAACAGAAGGTACGTTTTATGTCAATTTAAGTATTTTACCATGCACAATCTTTTATTTGGTGCGCTATTTTTAAAGCATATTTCTATGCGTATTTTAAATTATTTTATAAATAAACCAATATTGTTTTAAACATGCTTAATATGGTTTATTATTTTTTACTAATATATATATTTATAACTAAATGACATAAATAATTTATATATTATGTACAATTCCATGATTTTGAAGTTGTTCACAGTTTAATGCAAACATAACTTCCAAAGATCAAAACATTTAATTGAACTTTGAACAACAAAAAAGTGATTTTAAATTTCGTGATTTGTTTTTAAGTAAAATAGTTGTATTTTTATATTTTCCCTAAATTATTTATATGTTTAAGACTTTACAGGTTTCCCACATTTCTATTCATTAGCCTCGCCTGTACAAATACTTTTAATCTGACGATATTGTAAACCGCAAATTTTAATTAAAAATTTAACGGATTTGCTTTTAAAGCATTTTTAGTCTTATATTTTCTAGTTTTAGTCGTAATCTATCTAAGCAGTTTTAATTAAAATTTGCGGTTTTTTATTTAAATGCCTTTTTTCCTTACTCTGCATACCTACAGATTGGTGCTATTTTTTTTTGCTTTATAGCAGTGTGTTTTTGACCCACTGTAGCATTTTATGTAAAAATTTGTCACAATTGTTTGAAATAAACATGAGAAAAAATCAAGCATTTTTATTATTCCCATCCACATTTGTTTACAGTAAGGTGTACTACTAATTTTCAGACAAAATAAAAAAAAATCAAATGGTGTAAGTATTTAGAAGAGAATGATTATCTAGGGATATTTGTTTTGATTTATTTGGTGACTATCAAAATTTCGTTTTTAAAGAAAATTATTTAAAAAAAAACAAAATTGTATTGTTATGGTTTATTTATAATTAGACCTTACCTTTTATGGTTTTCTTATCTTTGTTTTCTGCTCTTTCCAAGACTTTTGCTGCATTCAACTTCACATGTTTTCTGTTGCTTTATTTTTGGTTCCCATACCATGTTTTAATAATTTTTCTTTGTAATTGACTTAATTCGTTTCACAAAACATAATAATTCGTTTTTACATTTTTAAGATTTTAAATAACCCTGCATTCAGAAATGTCACTGCAACTGTCAAAAGCGAAAAGCGTTACCATAGAAACCAACTATCAACAACTCGCAATGTTGTCGTTTTTTACTCCTATTTTTACGTTTTTTAATTCACGTTTCTGTTTTACCATCGGACCCGGACCGGACCGTTTTTGGACAGAAAATCGGACCGGAACCGGTATTTATTTGTGGACCGGAACCGTAACCGAACCCATATTATTTTTAAACGTAACGCTGAGACCGAACCCTTTAAATTTAAAACGGTTTTTTAGTTTATTTTCGGTTTTTTTCTTAATTTCAATTTGTAAAAATTTAAAAAAATATATTTTGTTTCGTTAAAAAAATCTATAAAATTTGTTTTTGAAAAAAAATATTTGAGCACGGGCTATAAATTATACACTCCAGCACAAGTATTATTAGGGATTCCTGCTGTGTTAATAACAATGATTGTAAATAATTGTAAATGTTGTATAAATAATTATTGTAAATGTAAATTAAAATAACTTTATTGGAAAAAAAAAGATGTCATATGTATACACATATATTATATAATTCTAGGCAACACTGTAATTAATAAACCCCCACTACAAAATATCCCACCGACTAGTCGCGACTGCGCCATAAAGTAAATAATACCAAAGTAGGTTGAAGACTTGCCTAGTATTATGTATACATATTATGACACCTGCAACACAAGTAAGTAATCGTTAATAGGCTGTTTTCCGGTCACAAAGTTTTACTTTCCTTGGGGAACAGTTATTTGTGAGAACCAACATAATTTTTGGAGAAAAAGAACAACAAAAGTTTAAAGTTAATTTTTTTTTATTTTTGGATAACTTATTTTAAATATGAATTTTCCAGTTTTTCAATCGCAAGATCAGAATAAAATTAAAGAAAAAGAGAATGAAGAGCCTAAAATTGAAGAACCTGATTTGAAAAATAAATAGACAAAGTAATTTAATTACATGCCAAAAATTTACAAAAAAATATTTTTTTTATTTTATAATTTTACTTATTTATACCTACATGGTAAAAAAATTGTAACCGAAAAAAACCGTATGGACCGAAAAGATTTGTCCGAAACGGACAGAAATATTTTTTTTGGAACCGTAACTGAACCCGAACCGAAATTTGTTGTTTCTCTCGGAACCGGACAGGAACCGTTATTTCATTTGGGTCCGGGTCCCTGGTTACAATATATATATGTATATATACATATACATAGGCACTATATACAGGGTGTTTCATAATATATGCGCAGGACTTCAGGATGTGATAGCTCATCCAAAAAGATGAAAAAAGTCGCTATTAACTTACCCTCTAAAATGCATAATTTTCGAGATACAGGGTGTTAAAATTTTAGAAAAAAAATCGTTTTTTTAGATTATCTCTGGAACCGTTTATCGTACAAAAAACAGCTTTTGTAAGCATTTTCTACTCATAATAAGCTATGTTTTGTGCCAGAAAAAAAACCATGTTTTTAAACATAAAAGTTGATTTTTATCGAAAACGGTCAACTTTAGAGCTTATGACCAGGAGTACCTTTTTTGTGTAGAAAACATTGGCGGTAGGAATGGGCCTCTCAAAACCGTACTTTTTTCAGGGGCGTAGAAGTTGAGGAGAAAAACACCCGCTACCCCTTCAGAATCTCCACCAATTATGAGGAAAAAAAAATTTTTTCTAGCACAAAACATAGCTTATTTTGAGTAGAAAATGCTTACAAAAGCTGTTTTTTGTACGATAAACGGTTCCGGAGATATTCGAAAAAAACGAATTTTTTTCTAAAATTTCAACACCCTGTATCTCGAAAATTGTGCATTTTAGAGCGTAACTTAATAGCGACTTTTTTCATCTTTTTGGATGAGCTATCACATCCTGAAGTCCTGCGCATATATTATGAAACACCCTGTATAGTGCCTTTTGTATTAAAATAAAAAATGATTATAAAATCAGTTAGAAAATTGTCTGCTTTTACCATATACCTATAACTAATTATAGGCATATGGTTTTTACCAAAGGTAATTAAATGAAAAAGTAAAATTTGTTTTTGGAAGTTGGTACCCATCGCATTAAAAAGTATAGAAGCAACTCCCTTTACCTCTTAGCTTTACCTCTTTCCCAGCAATTTACAGTAAATTAAACATCTAGAATTTAGTTAAAATTTAATATTAATAATAAAGTTATGTTAATTTTTTTTAACTGTTTATAATAAATCTGTCATTCTCAGCTGCCTTAATAAAAATTAAATTAAAAATTAACTTACGAGTAGGCAGTGTTGACAGGTCTTGGAAAATTATACTAAGGCCCGGTTTTATCATCACTAGTTAAAATTAAATTACTACTTAGTTAGTAGTTAATTTGTTTTTGTGTTTTACAATTGGTAGTTATTTATCCAAGTACAGATTATGTTTGAGTTTCCGTAACTACCACTTCTTGTATTAGTAAAGTGGTGGTTAACCTAAAAATACAGTTAATATTGTGCTTATTTTAAATATGGATTTATTGAATTGGTATTTTAATATTTATGACGATGATGATGAAGTTTTATTGAGACGTCCAAAAATTGTTAGACCTCGGACATAATGTGTATAATGAATGCTAACTTAAAATATACTATATATTTAACCAAGGTGTCCAGTATTCTGTAGAAAAAAATGTCCAGACCCTTTTAGGTTTTCCAGAAAGTAACCAGCATTATGTTTAAAACACATTTTTTTTTAGGAAAAAACGCACATTGATTTAAAAAAAATATATTTTTTTTGTTCTTAAAACCCCTGAATACTAAATTTTGTTAAAAAAAAAAGTTAATTTTTTGAAAACTAGTTTTAATAACCCAAACATAACAGGATTAGATAAAAAAAGCATAAACTGTATTTGATACCTTGCAAATTGTACTAGACAAAACGGCATTTAGTATATTTATTGCAAATGTACAGTACCGTAAAACGGGATAAATAGAAACTTGAGGGGAATTAGAATCAAATTTATACGATTTATTTAAAAATCATATTTTGTTTAAATTACATTTGGTTAGTTTTGGTTTAAGTATATAAATTTATAAACTTAAACCAAAGCTTCCCAAATTTAATTTAAACAATTTATGATTTTTTAAACAAATCCTGTAAATTTGAGTAGGTTTTTCCCGACGCCAGTAATAACAAAACAAAGCAGTCTACTTTTCTCAATTCACTTTTACAGCGCAAAATAAGGTTATATTTGGCAATTTCCGGTAATATTTAATACCAACATGACAAAAATATGTCAAAAGTTGTGATTCTGTAACTAATACTTCAAAATGCATGAAAAAACAGATTACAATTTAACTAACAATTTACCTCTAGTTAAATATAACTGTAACTTACGAAAGTACTAATTAAATGCAATATTGAAAAACCGGGCCTAAATCTAGGAAATTTAAACCCACAAAATGAAAAAGGGGAGGATTTCAACAATTAACTCTTAATAAAACTGACAGATAACGTTTGAATTTAATTTAATTATCTATTATTTGTTACAAAATTAGGTGTTGAGTGCATAACATAAATTATTGGAAATAGTCAATTAACAACGAAATTTGGACAAATACGAACAAAAAATAACTTAAATAAAAATGCCATCCAGCAGTTCTTATACAAAAACTATGTACAACTTACATCTACCTTAAACTTAATTACATAAATAAGGAATTTATTACAAAATATTTACAAGGTTAATTTGGTAAAAATAAAAATTTAATGGTCCTTTTTGTTAGAGAGGCAGGTAAAAACAAATTGTTTTAAACAAAGCACCGATCATAGATAAGGAGATTTCTCCCTTTCATTCAACTCTTCATTTTCCCTTAAACCAGCTTTTGCCACTTCAATTTTTTCGTTTAAAATCTCCCTGATTTCTCTGTTTGGCTTCAAAAGAATTATAGGTACATGGTCGTCACGTCTCTGTAACAAATAATGATATTTTACTAAATGGCAATGTTTCATCCGAGAAAATAAGTCAACGTGGCAACTGTGTAGGTATAATGTAAATATATTTGGTGACTGTTATTGTATACTTTTATCGTTGACTTTTTCTACAGTTATTGTGGGGTATTGTAGAATATTATCATCGTAATTATTATAGTTAAATAAAATCTTAGTTCGCTATGGAAAAATAATAAATTTCAGTGTTTTGCTGCGCATAACTGTACCGTAGAAGCTGCGCTGTGGATTGGGTCACGTGACTTTTCATGGAGTACTCTATTTATAAACGATATGTCAAACTTATTTGTGTATTGTTTGATTGTTTAATTACCTACCTGAAACAAGCATTCGCCTTCAAAGTCCAGAAATTTGTGTTTTCTGGCACGAAGCAACATTCCAACGACTTTATCGGAAATAGTGGTGTAAATCTGTAACATAAAAATCACACATCACTAATATGAATGAATTTCATTGAAGTCCTGGAGAGTAAAGTAAGTGTTCATTCAACTGTTTCTCATTTAACATGTTTGTTTTTTCATTTGAGTATAAAAATAAAACTTTTATTGCGAAAACGATTATTTATAACTTACGGCAAAAAGAGCTCCGAAACTGATGACGATTCTGGGATCGCTTGCTTTCGAAGGGTCTTTTTTGATTTCTTCTTCTGTGAATAGGGGCTCTCCACATTGGTTTATCACGTCACAAAGTTCCATCATTTCTCTGCATACGGCTATTGTTGCCTTGTACGCCCTAGATTCTGACATAGAACCTTTTAGTGGCCTAAAAAGTTTATGTAGATAAGTTATACAATAACAAACTTTTCAGTTTGACAGGTATGATCTGTGGATGTGGCCCTAAATAGGTATATGGTACAAAGAATTTATTAATAGGTAAACCCAAACAATTTTTATTTACATGGGCATGGAGACTACACAGAGGGTAAATTGAATTGAATTTTTGTTATTTCATGTTTTGACTCGGAAACTTTTGAAGCTATTTATATAAAATGCTGGAAAATGTTTTTCTAAACAAGTTTCAAAAATAAAAAGCTACGATTTGTTAATAAGATTTATGTTTTAATTTTTTGTCATCAACTGTCAGAAAATACGTCTTTTAAGTTCAATGATATGCGTGGTTTTCATAGCAATCGTTTTTAGATGTTTCTTAGAAAATAGACGTTGCGGAGTTTTTTAAACTTTAAACGTAATTTTCGGGTACTACTTACTTCCCATAATCCTCTTTGGAGATAGTAGGTTTAGGCATTAACCCCACTTTTGCTTGGGAAAAAGGGTTGACTGCTTGATTATTGTTGTGTTTATCGACCACTTGATTGAAAAGGGCTACTTTGCCTTTTAGACCACTTTCCTAAAAAAAATAAAAAACATTTATAACAATAATAGTATTTCACGCAAATTGAGCAATTTGTCGAGCCAAATACATAAATTTTATTTCGTCTCTTTGAAATGTTTTATGTTCGGTAATGACCTGTGTGGCAACCCAACATTGAATTTGAAAATAATTTTGACGCATGCCATCTTTTGCGATTTTGGCTGGCGGCCAAAAAATGCCGAGCTTTTACTTGTTTTTGTCAATGATTGCGTCATGAAGCATCTCGACCAGATTTGGACATCGAAATAAACAAAGTAGATGCTGGAATTTTGAACGCAAGTTAATTTCATTTAAACGAAAAACAACAGTCAGTCAGCAAATTTATAAAAATTACCTATATTAAAGAAATGTTTTTTAAAGAAAATTATTTTTGTAAACCGTTCTTTAATTTTTAGTTTTTTTCAAATATTTTTAGCCACTTTTAAACCTGACCTCTTTTAATTTGGCTGACATTTATATAGGTACCTATGTAATTAATAAATCAATGTACCTAAATAAACTTTTGTGTTGTAAAAAAATATAAGAAAAACTCTTAAAACTTTTTTTTCTATTTTTTTATTAGTAATAAAAATTGTTAATTAAAATATTGTTGGTTTATTAAATTGTTACAGTTACAGTTACGAATTTTTTTATTATTAAAATATTTCATAAAATAAATTTTATATTTTATTGTCTCCAATGAGCTTTAGCTACTATAGTGCTTTATCTAGTTCACAATCCACACATGTGTGGATTGTGATCTAGTTGACATCCTATACAGCTTTGTTGGGTTTTTTAAAATTAGCAAATACTGTTTTTATAATTTTTACTCCATTAAATTTAAAAAAGTTACAGATTACGTGGTAACCATAGATACCTTCAACTCACCCGTCATGGGTTTCTTGATATAAAATAGATAATATTTAAAATTTTAGAAATTGATAAATATCTTTGAAATTATAAACTTTAGGTACCTATAGGGAATAGTAACATCAATCGAAAGGTTTTTTAATTAACTATTTGATTATATAAAAACATACCGGGTGTTACATTTAAAATACAAAAGTTATAACCTTTGAAGTTAGACATTTGACATTTGATGTAAATGTTTGATGTATTGCCTACATTGCCTAGTTTCTCTGACATTACTGTATACCTACAAATTTCAATTTTATTTTATAAACCAAATTATCGTGACTAATGATATTTTCACCTGCGATTGCCAAGTGAGATAAAAATTCCTTCAAAATAATTTGTGTATTTTTTGGAGGTTTACTTAAAAAAATTTTGGCAGTTGAATCATGCATTTAATTTAATTGACGTGGTGTTCGAAACCGCATCAAATTGATTTTTTTTCAAGGGGGAACTTTTAGGCTAGCTCACTATTAATGTCCAATTAAGTTAATTAGTGTGTAGGCTATGTTGGAAAAAATATTTTCTTCTTGGAAAATTGTCAAGAATCCATGACGGATAAAACCATCATAAATTATTTCTAGATACAAACTATTTCATGTTTTAAGTTGGATTTATTTTATTTTTAACGACCTTTTCAATGTCAAGTGTTATGGCAGAAATAAATTAAAATTGTATTGCTAAGCTTGCCAAAAGCCTTGCCTAAAAGCTGGTAGTAAAACTAAAAATGTATCAAAATCTACTGCCTTGGCAGTAAAATGTTTACTCGGCGATAATATCTGCTTTCTCCACCTGGTCTATAATGCAGTGGCGGCTGGTGGATTTTGGGCACACCCATAATATGAGATATTATCTCAGTTATTAGGCATGGGACCCACATCAAATTTATATGTGTTTATAATGACATTATTTAGACAAGTTCTGCTCAAGCAGAATTTAAATTGAAGTGTGCGAAAAAAAAATAGTTTTTAAGCTCGCCCCCCAGCCCCCTGCCCCCCAGATTAAGATAATTCAAATTAAAGTTGTACAATATTTAATTCACTAAAGTTAATCGACAAATTTCAAATTTTATTAAAAAAATTCATGTATTACAGGTTTTATACCATTTTAAATTTTTATTATTTCTTTTACTAAATTAAAAAAAAAATAGAAATGGTATAAAATCTGTAATACCTACTTGGACTATTTAAATAAATTTTAAAATTTGTTGCTATACTGTAGAGAATTATAAATTGCACCCCTTAAATTGGGGGAGCAGGACGCTGGGGGGCACGCTTAAAAACTAACTTTTTTTCGCAAACTAAAATTTAAGTTCTGCTTGCGCAGAACATGTATATATAATGTCATTATAAACTCATATAAATTTGATGTGGGTCCCATGTCTAATAACTGAGTTATGGTTGTGCCCAAAATCCACCAGCCGCCACTGCTATAATGTACTATCGTCGGTTTTTATTCAATTTAACCCAATTATTTTGAAAAAAGGGGAAGTATATATTTTTGACTATTTCCCTCGTCTTAATTTCCATCAATCACAAACGCGCAATTTTGAATTACAAATGGTTTCTAGGTGAAAAAACTGTGTGACAGCACCTGTCAGCAGTTTTTTCGAGTTTACCCGCGGCAAAACTTGACAGCTGTTGTCACCAAAAATTGCAATTTATATTTTAATTGTTAACTGTTACTCATGAAATAGTCTTGTCAAATACCATTCGGGCATCAAATTTTTCCTGTGAAAAAAATCGAAAAAACACAATGCTAAGTAATATTTTTTAACAAAACGCATTCGTGCAGGTGCAAAAATCCTCCTCTTCGACTCGGATTTTTGTTGCCACCAGCACTCATGCTTTTTGTTAAAATATTACTTAGCAACGTGTTTTTTCGATTTTTTTCGGAAAAATTAAATGCCCTTATGATATTACTTACGATAAATCAATAACAAAAAATATATATATAGATTTTTAAATATATTAATTTATAAAACTATCTTATATAAATCCCATAGGTTTAAAAACGGGTTTTCAATTACAATATTGATCAATTACGCTATTAATGCAAAAATAAAGTCTTTTAAGCACGCGACGTGGGAAACAAGTTTCACTTTTTCGCACTAGTGCGTAAAGTGTGTCATTAAGCAACCAGAGTGAAAAAAACGAAGTGAAAATTATTTAGTTTCTTAAATCGGGTCTTGTAACTGTTATAGTAACTTAACATGGTGTTAAGTATTGACAAGTTGCGGCTTTATGGCGCTTTAGTCACGGGCTAAAGTTGGCAACAGGTTTTTAGTCACGGGCTGAATTTAGTTTTAAGTTATTTGACAGTTGTCATTACAATCGTTATAAAGTTATTATTATTAATATTTGAAAAGTTTATATGAACGTTTAATTTTGCCGTAGTAGTGCAGTTAACTGGATTTAACTGATAAAGCTTTAAAACTGTAAAAAACTGCTTCTATATCGATTGTTAGTTTATTTTGATTTACAGAGAAAAAATTGTGATTTTAACGCCGGTAGATTCCAAGTTGGAAATTCTAACGGGAATTCCAATAAATAAAAGTGTCACTTTTTATACCTTTAACATTTCCAGTACAAGAATATTTAATACTTTGTGATAATATTTTTTAATTGCCTTGGCAAGCGAAACAAAGGAAATTTTCACGGTTAAAAGTAAATAAACTGCTCAATGTTACGAATATTTTTAAAATTCATAATTTTTTGATCAAAACGGAACGTTTATCTAATATTTAATATTTTTATTAAATTAAAAAAAAATAATTCCATTGAATTTGTATAGGTAGGTATACCTGTAATTTTATGATTGCAATACAATTTATTGAACAATGCACTTTATGAAGATAAGAGTTTTAATCACGTAGGTATGATGCATTTTTTTAACGTAGATATTTTTTTAATAAAATATAAATTGCTTACAAAAAACCGAAAGGGTTTAAAAAATGTGTCCTAATTAATTTTAGTTTATTTACCATATAGGCTGCGCTGGCAACGTTAACCGACATCTTGGAGCGTTGTATTTGTCCACCAACCGGCACTGAACTGAATCCAATCGAGCCGAATCGCGATAAAAAAATAATTATAAAATCGACGCACGAATATGCGGCTTTTTATCGAACCGTTGACGGAAAAGTATCGAAATAATTCCCGACCGGCGTTTATATTTAAGCGTCGCGATAATAGGCCGACGTCGGGCGCTCGAAAACGACGCCGACGTCGTCGCCGGCGACGCTGAACGCCCCAGCACATTCGAAGATTTTCTTTGGCCATGGATATCGTTACTCATCAGCGTGGTATTCGGCAGCGCTTTACAGGAGATTCCGATGTTTGTTATTGATGAAACATAAATTTGGCTGATGTATTAATTGGTGCTTTAGAGTATTTTAGCACTTGAATGCATTTATTTACTTAAAATACCTAGAAATACTTACGAAAACATAAAATAAGAAATTATACAAAAACATCTTAATTGGCCTATAAATTTTAACATTTACATTTAATAAATCTCTAGCTTATGAATCCTCTAGGTATACGTTAAATTAATAAACTATGAGCATGGATCTATGAACAGCGGTTGTTAATATAACGACCGTTGGACATAATTTTATGATTACTACGTTAAATCAATAAACAGCGAATGTGAAAGCATGTTATTATTATTATAAACGGTAGACATTAGTTTATGATTATTTTTGATTGAATCAATAAACAATTACCATAGATCTACGAACAAAAAGGCATTAGTTTATGATTTACTTAAATTTACATAAAACACAATTAAAATTATTTGCGAAATTTACTTACCTTTTTATTTAAAATAAAGGTTTACTGGGAACGTGGTACATTTTGTTTTAGCAACATAGAAATAGGAAAAAAATATCTTATACAAATTACCAAGCAATCAATCACAAAAGAGGCTTCTTTAAAATAAAGAAGTTTTTGGTGAATACATTTTTTTATTGCAAGAGAAATTTACAAATAATATGAACCTTTGGGCTCTCAAGAGGTTTACAAAATGCTCTTTCTAAAAAGTTCCAAAACATTATGCTTTCCTGTAAACAGTCAAGATTAATATATAAATAATTTTAAAACATATATCGAGCGCCTTAATTACATGAAATCCTAAATAATTATATTTAAAATATAACTTAAAGTGTATATTTTAAAAACTAAAAACTCATTCACTAAAAACTTAAAAATAAAATAAATATCTAAAAAAGTTAAAACTGTTTAAAATAACTTCACAAGCTCACACACCTCGGTTTCGTCAATGTCCACTCCGTATATTAGGCACAAAACTCATCCAAAAAGGTCAAAAATGTTTAAAAAATAACTTTACAAGCTTACACACCTTGGCTTCGCCAATGTTCACTCCTTGTATTTATCACAATTTCACTAATAAAGCTTTAGGGTTAAACGCGGAACTAACCTTTTAACGCTATAATATAGCGTTAAAAGGTTATATATATTATATTATAATTCAATTGAATGGTTAAGTTTGTAAAATCAATGTTTACTAAACATTGTTCAGTGACCGTTGGGACGGTTTATTATTATTCATGTTTGTTGTTCATGGATCAATGACGAAAAATTTATTGTTTTAAAGATACCGGCCTCGGTGGTGTAGTGGTCAGAGCTCCTGGGTACGAGCCGAGAGGTCGTGGGTTCTAATCCCACTTGGGTATGGTTGTTTATTTGTGTTTGTCCATTGTGTATAGTCCTTCGGAGGGGACTTTAAGCCGACGGTCCGTTCCTACCCCTAACCCGCACAAGCCATTCAGTTGGCTTATGGGACATCTTAGTTTGGATGTAAGGGTGGAACTAAAAGAGCACTTTATAACTTTATAAAGAACATCGTTTAATGATCGTCAATAGTTAATTCAATAAATTTTTACATTATATTAATGAAGGAAATAATTAATTTTTATGTTTTGCATTTATCGTTTTTAATGTTGGCTAGTTTATTGTTTCAATGTACTTAGTTATTAATCTATGATCAAATATTGATTGTTATAATCACCAATACATAATATTAATTCACAAAAATTTGACGACAGCAGTTTATTAATTTTACGTACAGTTTTTCTTTCTGTGTAGGTATAGGCACGGCGTTCTCTATACATTTAGAGAACGCCTTGGTATAGGAGGACATGGTGTAGTTATTTTACTCAGAATTTTATGCAGAATTCAAAAATGTAAAAATATATGGGGTATTCTATTTGAGATAACAAAGTTGATGTCACTTCCGGTTAAACCGGAAGTCGCATTGTGTTCAAAATATTATAAAAAAATAGATTTCAAGTCTAGTAAATGTATTTCCCGGAATATTAGCTTACATAAAAAATATATTATAAGCATGACAATAAATTCGACATTTATGCAATATTTAAGATAAGATACCCTTTTTAAAAAGGTACAGTTTTTAAATTAACACTTTTATAACATAATTATCAATTATCTATTAATAGAATGAAGTGGGCCATGACAATTTTAAATCATATGTTAGTGTAGGAACTTAAAATGTATATATATAAAAAAATATAATAACAATTAAAATACCTGAATAAAATACCATCTTAATGAATGGGGTTGGGACATGATGTCATAAATCAGTTTAATTATCTATTTTTCCTTAAAAATGACGTCACGATGTTATAATATAAATGGTATATTGCTAGGGATAATGGCCGTGTCAAGATTTACTTCATGGTGTTTATTAGTATATTATGTAACTAAGTAGTGTACACGGAAAAAATGTTTTCTAAATGTAAGAATGCCTTTATTCTTAAAAAAATCACTTGGTTTAAATATAATTTGCTTAGACTACGAATACATTTTTTTTTTTTTAAATATTAACCTATCCTTAAATTAAAAATATTTTATTTGTTAGCTTAAAATCAAGAACCTACAGTTGAAACAAGATGACCAAATATTGTCAAGGCTAAAGCTATAGCTTATAACATTAAACTAAATATTAATCTTTCTTTAAACAAGCAGATCTTATTCTTGCCTGTTAAATGTTAAGAAAGACTTTATAAATGAAATAATCTTATTCTTAATTTAAGATTAACAATCGATTAGACCAAATTTTGGAAAATTCCCTCTATTCTGTTCTTAAATTTATAAAACTATATTAGTATTAGTATTAGCAAATATTGGTACGACTGGCCTATTCTCCACTCAAAAAAGTGTCCGACATTTTGTTTCTTCTGTTAGTTAATATTTGGTTTGGAATTATGAAAGAGCTGCTAAATTAGTGGAATTTGATAGAATTAATTAATTAATAATTATTACCTGTAGGTAATAATTATTACATAATTATATTTATGTGTGTAGTAGTATGTATTGAATTTTAGATGTTGGAGTGATATTAGGTTGGCAGATCACATAAAAAACAATTAAGTATATTTTACCTTTAGATTATAGGTAGCAGGGCCGGCAGAACACATTTAGCCCGAGTGGGTAGTTAGGCGGAGAAAGGGGGTCCCCCACTCAGCTTTAATTTCGAGCAATTAACATTTTGAAAAATCAATATTATAAAAATATATTGAAAAATAAGGAGGTTTAGAAGGTAACAAAAGAAAGTCATAAATAACAATGCATTTTTGTAGATTAACAATTTTTATTTGTTATCTAAAATAGCAAAAACAGCCGTTCTTTTTTTATTTATTAGTAGGGATGGGATTTTAGTTATTTTACCTTTTTTCAACCGATGTAACTATTTGAAAACCAATAATGCCAAAATGTGTTTTAAAACATTTTCTTTTATATGAACCTAACTTGTTTTCACCTTTTTTACCTTTTTTGGAGGTTTTTGCTTTAAACTAACTACCTCTTTTATACTTATGTTTTTTAACTTGTTTTCACCTTTTTTACCTTTTTTTGAGGTTTTTGCTTTAAACTACCTTTTTATACTTTTGTTACATATTTTTTAATTTGTCAGTTTATTTTTAGTAAAAATTTTTTTTACCTATTTGTTACCTATTTTTACGGCGTGCAACTCAACGGTATAGAATTTTTTCTTATGGTCACAGACTGTAACAGTAACTTTCTTTGCAGTTACCTTCTTTGTAGTGAGCTTATGTTCTGTCATAGAACTTCTGTGTAGTGAGTGTCACTCAGTGAAACACAGTTTATTGCATAGAAATAGTTTATTGTGGGTATGTCCTGTGTTTGGGTATGCGGCTAAACAAAATTATAAAAAATTCCCAAAACCAAAGAAAATCCTCAAAATAAACTCAGCAGTTGGATATAGGGGAATAATAAGATATTTTCTATTGACGAAAAAAACTTATTTTGGAGAGTTTGCTGTAAAATTGTAAGGAGTTTGAGGTTGTGTTAAAACTTCTTTCTTTAATTTATATACATTTTAGCTATCTGTTGAGCAAAAATCACATATATATATATATAGATTTGTTTGACCGCACATACAGACCCAAATTGTCATACTTCGCCGCCTATACAGACCAAAATTGACGTTTTCAGACCCGGCTTCGGGACTGAAAAAGTTAATCATAGTATGGAAATCAGGGGGGTTGGTGGGTGCAGGGGGTAAATTTTTAGGTGGGCTTGAAAAGGCGGTGAAACATGATGAAATATACAGATTTAGTTCACGGTTCAGCCAGTTCGAGGGCGCCTCGGTCGGGCTCAGCTAGCTGTATATATTCGGCATAGTTAAACTACGTCTTCAAACCCTAAATTTGGCAACGCCGCGGCGTTGGCATATAAATAATGAATATGTATTTTACAGCTCTGATACAGTCCCGATATGCTCTTTACCATTTGGTCCAAAATCACATTTTCCCTCCTGAACGGAGATAAGTAAGCTTCAGATAGTAAAAAAAAGGAAAATCTACTTTATCAAATTTATACTTTTAGGGTTATACTTTTAAATATTTGTCAGTAAAATTGAAATGTTAAATAAAATATTTAACACAATATATTATTTTTTTAGTATACATTTTTGGTAAATATTACTGTAAAAATATTAGTAGATCGTAATTTTTAATATGGTTGTATGGATGTGATTTACGTATAGTAATATTTATTGTATTATACAAAATTTAAATATTCAGTTAATAAAAAGATTTGCGAAATATCTCAAGATTATAAAGAACCTTACACTGTCTGTACTATACATATAGTTAATAATTTTAATGGCA